TTGGTAAAGAGGAGCAGAGCAGGCTTCGTATGTAAACTCCCTTGAAATCTTTAGAGAGCTTGTTGTTAATTGCGCTGAAGATGATAAATATCCTCCTCTCTCCGCCGGTCTCAGCAAATATAGGAGAAAACACCTATAACATAGATGTTTATCCCCCTCCGTTGTGTTCAACACCACCATTGCCACTGTTGTGCAGTACGCCATCTCCTGATGGTGTTCTTGGAGAACGACGGCATCTAGCATCCTCGTCCATTCCTGAACCCTCTGCTCCCCCTCGCCACATTATTCGTCACCAAACCCTTCGTCTTGATCGCCTTTCTCCACATCGCACCCATCAAGCCCATCGTGTGCGTTTCCAAGATCCTGCAAATAATGGATGGATGTTTTAGAGTATTTGGGGAGTAAATAAGGCAGTCCTAATCAGTTAGCATTGGTGTTGGGCAATTGATTCTCATTTATCAGCGACAGATTTACCAGCTTCTCATCAATTCCACTAAGTTCTCCGTTCATGATGGTGTAGAAATATGTTAGTTGAGTCTTCTTTGGAGGAATGAATTCAAACTAACGTTATCAACATAGGGCTATGCGTTTTGTTGGCCCCACGTCGAAAGAGGAAGAAGAGAGGCAGTCTATGCTTCGAGAGGGGAGAAGGCGGTTCTTACAACCATATGTGGGCGTACCCATATCCCATCCAACCTATCGTGGCCTATGCATAAACACTCCAAGAATGGTATCATGATACGCAAGCAACTATAGAGTGGTAGTAGGTGCGAGCATTGAAAAGCGGAGGATGTGCGCGTTTTTCATCATAGTGTTTCTCAGACCTCTATCGACCACAATTCTCCATAAAAAAAAGAAATTGATAAATAATTAGTCTACGAACATAGAAATAGTTATGTCGTATCCAAAATCATGGGTTTCCAAACCAATTGTGGCAGTGTACCCATCAAGAGTAAATGGTTTCATACTCTGCCATAATTGCGACATTGGTTGGAAGGCCAGGGGGATCGAACGTGGACTGAGCTTGCAGCACGAGGATGACAACAATTCAAGGTGTGTGGCATGCTCCAAGCTGCTGAGGAATACCAACATGGGTATCTGCAGAAATACATGCAGGGCGTGCAGTATGGAGGACCAGCTGCGATTCCGGAAGTGTATCAGTTGCAGTACATATCGGAACGACTGCTGGAATGGTGTGTGTGCCAGATGCTCTAATGGGGCATATTCTTGTGAAAATGTTGGCCACTTCTATAGGAGTGAGGACCACCATTTCAGCGCGTGCTGGTAGTTGCCACACGAGAGAAGGGTATACTGTGGGAGCCTGAACCAACCTCCCCCAGAACCATACTACGTACGGAAACAGGCCAGTTCAGATGAAGATGGACCATAGGAAAAGGGATTGGATTCAACATATGTGTTCCGTTTCAAATTGAAATTTCAAATAAATAACATTTTTTTGATGAAATATGGTGTTTTTTTATTGAATTGATAATGATTCAATTGGTAGAGGATGGATAGAGAGACGCATAACATTTGGTTTCGAAAGAACTATATTGGGTTTACATACATGAAATTATTGCACACTCATCAATCCAAGAATTGTGTTGGTCAGAGAATCCGAGCAATTTGGCAAATAATTTAAAACTAAATTCTTCTTCAAGACTTTTTCCACCAAGTATGCCTCGGGGTTGGTGGTTTTCGATAGCTCCAATTCATAAAAGGATCCTTTGATCGGTTTGCCTACCATATCTTCAAGTTTGTATGATCTGGGATTCGTTAAATTCAATTCGAATATTTCGAATAGTTCCGTAGAAAAATTTGCTGTACATCCCTTCTCAAAAATCCCCTTATATTAGCTTATCCGTACAATATCACCAACTTGAAAATCATACCTCTGGCAGAAAATTCTTCATAAATCCAATTTTTCAGTGTTCTTATCACCCTTTCAACGTTCGCAGCCTTCATCGTACTTTAAAGTGGATGTTATAGAATTCTTTACCGAGGTGACTTTGCACATGTCCTGGTAAATATTTAGCCCTTGCCAATACTCTTTCCATAGCAGGTGTCACTTTTGAACCGATTTTATATTTATTCGGCTCGATCCAGATGTATTTAGAATAGCAATCAATGGTGAATAATATGTAACGGTAACCACTACTCTCTCGAGAAAACGTTTGCATCTCAGCTGAATCTACTCGCCACAAGTCTGCGAAACCTTTTATCATAGTTCTCCTCCTATGAAAGTTTCGTCTGGCAGGTTTATGCATCTCATTAACTATCTGCCTTTTGGTCACACTCATCTCCATTACAGCGTCATTCAAACCTATTAAAACACTCTTGAATGCTTGTGATTTCCTTGAACTACTTTGATATACTAATAAGTCAGCATGGATCATATCCCTCTTATGGCCTGAAGACAAATTGAAATTATCGAAATTATTTCATTATCGTGTCCATTGTGACCGGCTGATTTTGAATTCCACAATAGCAGAAGGCGTTCTACTAATTTTGTAGCTTCTTGTCAATAGACGTACTCTTTGCGGCGTTTACCAACACTCTTTCTGGATGATATCGATTGTATAATTCCTCCACCACCTTCAACTTCTTGCTGCTGACTTCTCATATTATGTGGAGAACCAATTATTGGTTTGATAATTTGCTGATATTGTCAAGAAGTATAAATGCCCAGGAATTAACACCACTCAAACTCCCGTTCGTTTCAAGATATTTTATCATTAATTAACTTTTCCAAATTGAAACATTCACTACATTGCAGTTCGATCAGGCCAGCGGAGTTCATAGACATCATTTCCTTTATAATTTGCAAAGAAATCGCTTACCGCGGCGATAATACCTAGGTAAGCGGTATCGAGAGCTGAGGACCGTCCCCAGTGTGGAAAATTGCGAACCTAGCATCGATTCCGAATATAAGTAGTATCCGAATCGATGAGGCTCACATCCCCTCTTGTTTTCTCCTATCGTCTCTCGCTGGTGTGGACAAATTCCAGGTAATATGTCACGAATAGTTTGCTGCAGTCAACAACAAAGCGTGAAAATAGTGGATAGTGATTAATAGTGTACGATTTGGCGTAGTGTGGTGTGAATTCGTTGCAGTAGTTTTTCAATTTTCGGTGAGTAGGTACCTACCATATTCATTTCGTTTTTGCTTGAAATGTCTAGGCTCTTGGTATTTAACTTCATTTTCTTCTTGTTAGTTAGATATCAGCACAGAGCGCTTTAAAAATGCCAAAAAACAAACATATTGTAATAGCAGTAACAGACGAGCTGGTGAATGTATCAGAACCAAACTTCAACTGGAACGCTTGCTGTATCTCTCAGGGTGAAGGAAAACTTGTGTGTCCTGCTAATAATCCAGTGGAGGCTAAACAAAACAAGGGGTACCAGACACTCGCAAGTAATCTTGAGCAGCTGAAAAGCTATAGTCATTTCAAACTCAAATGTGGACGGAGTATTAACGTACTTGATGAGGGTAATGGAGTGCAAAGTATCACAAAGCATGTAGTCTACCATTGACTGCTAAGTTCAGTTCTCTGCTGAAGAATGTTATGGCACAGGCAGATCAAAATGAGTCCTGAAAGGAAGTTCGTCGCACGACTCGATCTAGTTTTGCTGCTGTCACCCTCATGGCTGAATCATGCTTCATTTGTGTACAGCAAGAAAATGAACAGCAACCACTCCATCGCTGTGAGACTCATCATTAAGATGAAGATATTGTGATGATATTCCCCTTGGAGGGGCTTCAGAAACATCAGCAGGAAGGCAGGAGTACAACGATCATCCTGTATCACGCATCCCAGATTGCTCTCCAACCTCTTAATGATTCCTACATACACCAGCATATTTCCGAACACTCAATATATGACGCGGTGACAGATAACGTCACAGAAGATTCTGGAATGTTCTGGAAACAATCGATGGAACAATTAGAGAGAGAGGTTTGTTCTAAGAAGCTTCTAGAACAAAAAGAAGGAGACGGAGGATCATTCGAGAAGGTTCTCGAACCAAAGCCTGCCATCAAGTGATCTCATATATGAACGGCCGAATAACTGCCGTCAGTCAGTTAAGCAGCGAGTGTCAGAGAGACAGTTATATACCGCGTGATATAAATCGTTTTACATAAATAGTAGTTATAAGTTCGATATTAATTAGTGTTTCTATAATTCAAATAAATCAGTTCGAAAATAAATAGTGTCGTGTTCGCTTCTGCACCCGAATAACGTAACAATATTATGAAGTATGCAAAAGGTACAGGAAATACAGAACTAATAGTTTTACTGGAGACCAGAGGAAGTTTAGTCGCTCAGGAGGGAAAGTAACACAAAATTTGTCTGACTCGTCTCTACAGTAAATACTGCCGAGCTAAGTATATAAGTTCCCCAGAAGAAGAGACACTTCTATGTGAGGGTCTCGAATTCTCTGAACTTTTGATCTTCAAAGAAGGAAAACTGTCGAGGTATGAGTACACATATATTTTCAAAATGGGAGATTTCAAAAACATGTATGATTCGAGAGTTGCACAGCTGATTGGTGTATCTAAGGACGATATATCAGGAGAACATACTACACGCCTCAGAGAGAAGATACTAGCTCACATGCTCTTCTTGGAAAAAGAAAAGTGGGGAAGGGAATATGTTCTCATGATGGAAGGAACAAATCTGTACAACTTTCCCAAAGAAGATCAAGACGATGATGCAATTGGCTTTCAGAGGTTTTCAAAAAATCTCAGGAGAGTCATGTCTCAGTGGAAGGCAAAATTTGATGGAAGCTTTGTACAAAATTGTGAGGGGAAAAGTGTTCCAGGACCAATTGTTGCTGCTGTCAGTACTTTGTTGTGCGGTTCAGGGGTCAGAGCTGAGTGTGGGGCGACCGCCCCTGCTGTCACGATTTCACAGCTAATTTTAGCGAATTTTCATGAAAGTTTGCGACGAGGTGGAATTGTTAGATAGGAAAGAGACAGAGAACCTCCATTGACGCTGTACATGGCACTATCTTGCTACGGTAGAAAAAGAGACCAAACCTCGTCCAACCAGATGCACCGAGAAGGAATTAGTGCCTCGTCGAACATAGTAATGGAAGTGACAGTTCAGTTGTGTAGAATGTTGGTCCGAAGAGCAAGGGAAGAGAATGCGGCATTAGACAACATAGATTTCAAATCTACAAGCAATACAAGTGCAGGCGTTTTTCATGGCCCCTGTATCTCCATTTTCCAATGTCGTCGTCGGGGAGAATCTCAAGGAGAAATCAGGACATTCGCTACATCCCACAGGAATGTTAGTAAACAAGGAGACCGTGGAGTGCCAGAGTTACCAGATTTCTATGCTGAGATTCCCGATTGCACTCTCCCCCAGAACAACCCCCCTGCTCCTGGATGCAGTTTTGAGATAGGTTCTCGTCTGAATTCTTCAGGTAGGTTCAGATTTTTTTTCAATTTTGATCAATTGTGTTTTACTTCAGTTGATTATAAGCAACAAGATAGTTTCGGTTGCCTTTAGGTAATTTTCCAAGAGAGTGGCTACAAGAGGCAGAATGGTTGACACATCTTCGGAAACAAAGTGGCAATTTGCACGAGGCCATCACTGTGCCTGGTCGATTTATAATGGAAGTCGTTCGTCTGATCAATCGCTGTTGAAAGCTATCAATGTCCTCCTAACCCTATTTTCCGAAGAATCCACATCAATTCATATGCTGAGGCATGGAATGATCATTGTGAGGAATATAACGAAGTATCTGAATGGAGATCAAATTCCTGTAATCTGCGTGGACCAGCTTCTCTATGCCCTCATGAAAAAAAAATCAGTGGAGTTGGCCTCAGGAATATGGTGAAGATAAGTTTACAATGCTTCTAGGCTCCTTACACATTAAACAGTGATTTTTTCAATTATTTTGTCAATTTATGGAGAGCTCTGGTTGGACAACTATAGTTCCACATGTCGTAATAACCACTGCTGGATCAGCAGAAGGTATGATGACGGTAGGGTGCACGATGAAGCAACAATCTCGGTACTGGTCTATCCTTGCATTTGTGTGTTCCAGGTAAATCACATTAAACAGGCAATGGAAGTTCATCAGATCAGTGCAGCAGTTCTCCACAGGTTGCTGTGAAAATGAACACTCCGTATAAGAACTACAGATGGAAGAGTGGATGAAGACGGAATCTCAGAAATGTTCAACATTCTACTTCTGGCTCACTGTCTTGAACCTTGTGATTCTCCTCCTATGTTTCGTACGATCGTTGAGGCGGGGTGACTTTGATTTATTTAGAGAAACTCTGAAACAAATGACTCCGTGGTATATTATTTTTGTCCATCAAAACTACGCTTGGTATCTCACTGTTCACATCCAGGACTTGGAGGAGCGACCCAGCAAAGCCCCTGATATTTATAAAGAATTTGTATCGAGTAAGTATCGTCTCAATATATCATGATAATTCATTACCTATATCAAGTATGATCGAATTTGTCTGGATCATCTCTTACTTCTCTGCCATAGAAAAGTTCGTGTTGCCCATAAATGGAAACCCTGATTCTTATCTTGCTATCGATCATGCCCATGAGCAAAATATTGCCAAAGTGAAAGAGAATCGTGGTGCGGTCGGTCTCACTAGTGACCCATCTGCATTGAGACGTTGGACCATCGGAGGACCAGAGATCTGCCGACTTCTGAATGAATTCAACCATTCAGAAGATGCTCACCATGACGAAGTTTCATTCTCGAGGACTCATCATGAACAGGCAAAATCTTACCAATCAAGATTTGCCGATCACTTTGCAACACTCAAGGTCGCTTTCTTGGCGTACGAGAATTCCTTTTCTGTTCAGGAAACAGAACTTAACGCTATAGACTCCAGCGTTGTTGTGGGCACTGATGCGGTTCAGACCATGTACGATGCTGTGGAAAAGAGCGAATCCTACAAGTCCTTTGTCGACGAGAGACTGGTCAAGGAGTCGGGATCTCTTTATGATCCAATTCGAAAGTGTATGACTAAAATATTCACACATCAGAAAAAACAGCAACTTTTTCAATGAAAGCTCTGAAATCGGATGTGCAACTGTACTCACGGATCTTTATTGTGTGCATTTCACGAGAATCGGACCTTGATATATTCTTACAGCATGAGAATCAACTGTATCCGCCATCTTCATCGTTGAATGGATTTATGCGGACTGGAAATGAATCTTAGCTCGTAGCGATTCTCGAGAATTTGCTCAAGAAGTTGTCTGAAGTAGACCCACCTCACGGATGTGAAGGATTGATCATAGATGGAGCGGTCTTAGTTCACAATATCAAGCCTCGTCCTGATGTGAAAACTTTCAAGAGCTACGTAGGCCAGCTGATTTCGAATATAGGGTACACTCGAAAACAGATGAAAATATTCAGAGTGGATATAGCATGGGATCTGTACTCTTCCTCGAGTCTTAAAGAGGCCAGTCGGTCAAGCAGGGGAACAGAAGTGAGGCGTAAAGATATACCAAACGAAGGTAAACTAAAAACATATTGAATATCTCTTTATCTCTTGTGTGCCCGTGTCTAATGTCACTATAACACATGTTTTCACAGGTACTTACTTTACCGACGAACTGGGATGACTATTTGAGAAACGATCACAATAAGCGGGAGTTGTTCTCATTTCGTGCCAACAAGATCTTGAAAGAACTGTAGGATGTGCAAGTCGTTACTAATGTCGATGATGTTATACGCTCATCGGAGGGTACACAGTCGTTTCTGTAGGGTGTTTCGGGCGCTGCGATGGAAGAAGCAGATGGAAGGTTGATGTTTCATGTAAATGATATAGTGGAGAAAGGTATCCGTTGTATAGTTATACGAAGCTCGGATACAGACGTTTTGGTACTGGCTGTTACTCGTTACCATGTCCTCCACAAAAAGAGATTGCGAGAGTTGTGGTAACACTTTGGAGCAGGCCCCAAACGATGGTTCATTAGTGTGCATGGTATCGTTTTTCGGTTCGAGAGAAAAACAATCAGCATGAAATGCTTTCTTGGATTGCTCTGTTATATAAGAAACGCTCCATTCCATTCACAAACGCGAAGACATTATATTAGCATTCTTGAGCTCTCACATCCAATGCTAGCAGATACCATGGACGATGATCTCATCACGACGTTGGAGAGATTCACGGTGTACATGTACGGGATCCGTGACGAGACTTACTCGGGTGTGAAATGTTTTCGCATGTAGGTACTAGAATTTTTGAATTGAAATAATGAACGTCGAATTAAACAGCATCGCAAAGTGCTATCCAGTGTTGTTTAATTTATCATAGGCGTTCAGAATTTTTTCACATTCATAAACTCACTTAGTGAATTTTCAATATTATTGGTGACCGAGTTGGCGACCATTTTATAAAATGGCGGATTTTGAATCATATTTGCTCGTCATAAAGCGATGCTTCATCTATGTCGAATAGGAAATTTTTTTAATCAGAGAGAGGCTTTATTCTAATTTTCAGCATATTCGCATACCTTTTTTCACTGAATTTTCTTCGAAATTTTTATACTAAAATAATCTTCACATAATTTTGTTGGTTCAATCATCTTCAGACATGCTTGAAATATGTAAAACCATACCTCACACGCCACGAATCATGCAATCATGTCAATATGGCACGATATCGGACGCCATTTTCCAAAATGGCGGTTTTTGAGTCTTTTTCAATGATCATGGAGCTGAAAGAATTTCACCATCAAATTAATCAAGACAATTTCATTTGAAATCGACATCTGGATCATCTCTGTATCTTTATTTTGATTTTTGAAAAGAATTTCGTCGACTGAGTCTGTTTATAATGTAAAAGCGAATCATACTATGTTTATATTTATATGTTCAGCCCTGAGAAACAATGAATTAAAATACTCCAGACAAGTATTTAGGCATATTCATCGCAATAGGATTGCATTTCAAGATGTACTAACTACTGTTATCGCCGAAAAATCAGCTTCAACATTTAACAAGAAAAGGAATGTTATAGTAGATAAATTTCAAAATTCAGAATTTCCAGAACCGCTCAAATCATATAGAGTCTCAAATTCAGCGTAAAAACAATTATGTAATGAACTCAAAATGAAAAATTCAGATTCGAAGAACAGGAAACAGATAAATTACTATTATTCGAAATATTGGAAAGCCAACGATAAACAAAATCAAATTGATAGAAATGAAATAACATTCGATATACGTGCTTGAAAGGAATATAAATCAAATAAACCATTATCTTCATTTTCTAATATTATAGTTATACCCTCTGCCACACCTTCATTAACAAAACAAAATATCGATGACATCGTGAAATTCGACGAAGAATTAGATATGCGTTCTACTCCAATGAATTCAAAAATGCCTTCATTTAAGAAAATTCAATTTGATCACGTAGTTATAGATGCGGCCGCAGCGAATTTGCTTAATCAGTCATCAATAATTTGTTCTTCTCCACTGAATATAGATAAACTTCCTCTTTCTAAAAAACCGAAACAAGATTATGTACATATTCCTCCGCCAACTTTTTCAAAATCTAGTAGAAATAGTATTAATATACATGTCAAAAGTCCTAATTTATCAAATGTTTCATGTGTGTCTCCTTCAGAGAAAGATGATATGACGACTTCAAGTCAACATTTTGAAATAACTCCGGAAAGTTTTGGTATACCGAAAACTATTTCAACTGTGCAATTTCAGAGGGAAGTTTTATGATTAGTAGTGATATAGTACAGGAAATATTCACAAATAAAAAGTTAAATAAGTATTACCCTTCTAATTTTCGAAATCAAATCAAGGAGCTCATCAATAATGTCTGTAGTATTATCATCAAATATCCAAAGTATTTGAAAGATGGCACCATCAAAATTTATGCAGAGTGCAAAAATAATGATTATAATTGTGAAAAATTCAAAATTGTAATGAAAACTTGAGTGTTGATGTTTTTTCGAATTCTGTAGATTATTGTCATCCATCAAAAATAACATCATGCGTAAGAGGAGTAGAACGTGCATTAGTGAAGAAGGAAATTTTTAATAAGAAACCTTCAGAGTACAAACGAAAATACATTTTAGGAGCCAATGAACATATCATGAATAGGCGAGAACACGAATTTCTGGAAAAAATACCATGGCCTTCAGTATGACGATAAAAGTCTCAGGTATTTTTTTCAGATTTTTATTCGAAGTAGTTTTTCTACAAAAAAATTGCAAAGTATTGATCCCGTTCAAACGAACTGGAATATCGCGCGTTAATGTGACGTGACAAGTATTAGACGGTGATCCGGCAACGTCGCTTGATATCTTCTGGACAGTTGACTGTGTGGACAGTTGACGATTCGATCATCTGTCACTACTGTCAGTTGTTATTTTATTGTTTATTTGTTTTTGTAGGCCAATATTATTTTTATTCGTGCCATTCGAATTATTTATTTTTTCTCATCAACGTTGATTCACATTTCTGGGATGGCAGTAGCTGTAAAGAAAAGCCACAAACTTGGTTTCATCCTGCTTAATCAACACTGATCAAAGTATATGGATAAACCGAGGGATAAACCATACCTGGAATCCAATGATATATTTTGGTGTGAGGATCATTTTAATGTGAGTAGAATTTTTTCTTCAATATGGATTGATCATACTCATTTTGTTCTAGCTTGAATATGACATGTTGAACTGGGTGGAATTGAAACTCATTGGATCTAGAGTTTATATGCCTGAAGATGTGATTCCTCATATATTCATTAAACGTCCAAAACTGAGAAAACACCCATCAAAATCCTAACTTTCATCTTCAGCACGGAAAAGGAGATCTCAATAATCCCTTGAGAATTTGGGAGATAAGATGAAATAGAACTTCCCTCATATCATATTGACTATCCCTGAGGAAAATTCTTGGAAGTACCAGTGAGTGTTTTAGTTGAAGAAAGTTTTCTTGAAGAACCTGAAAAGAAACCTGTCATGGAAGAGACTGACATCAAATACTTTGTTTTCTTGCAAACTTTGTGATGATCTGGACAAGATATTGATATAATATTTCAATGTTCTACATCTATATCCATTCTAGGAGAGAAATATATCTATTAGGAGGTCTATTGATATTCAACTGTTCTAATTATATCTACTGCATAAAGTGGACAATAAATGAAAATTTCCACCATTATTCTTGAGCATTCTTGCTTCATTTTGAAGATGGGGGCATTTGATAATTTCTGTGTACTACCTATTTGTTTACATTTTTGACAAATTTTCCCCACATGAAATAGTGACAATACCTATCTAGTAATTTTGGCTTGTATGATTTTGTTTTTTGCATTGAGAATTGATGTTGCATCTTCCATCATTTCTAGATATGCCAGTGCTTTCTTGGTATATACTTACTGGATTTTTTTCTTACTAATTTCATTACTTTTTTGGTGTAATGATAGGTATTGGTCTTTCTCACCAATATTCCACTGACAATAAAATATGAATGAACTAGGTTGTTCGACAAGAAATAAACATGAATTTCATATACCTACCATCTCCAGTTTGTGAAGGTATAGTGTATGATCAATATGAGAAGGGATTTTGAAGTTGTGTATGATGAAATATGTTATTTCTAAGACACTGGTGAGCTCTAAATTTTGAAATAAGAAGAAAAAAAGTACTGTAGTACTGATATTTTATAATTTTATTAAATGGGTGAAAATAACAGTTTGCCAAAAATTTTCAGCATCTTTTATAATTTTCTGAAGGAATATAGGGTTATATGACACTTCGAGTAACTGAAAACTACCATTATTCTCAAAATTCTCCTGCTCATCTAATGTACCTTC